AAGCCAGGCTGGCCTGATCTTTCCGCTTCACATTGGATAGACCGGGCCAAAGCCAGGCTGGCCTGATCTTTCCGCTTCGCATTGGATAGACCGGGCCGAAGCCAGGCTGGCCTGATCTTTCCTCTTCGCATTGGATAGACCAGGCCGAAGCCAGGCTGGCCTGATCTTTCCGCTTCACATTGGATAGACGGGCCGAAGCCAGGCTGGCCTGATCTTTCCTCTTCGCATTGGGTAGACTAGGGCAGCCCCACAGGCCAGATCTTACCACATCATGGGCCTTGAGTTTGACACCCCTGCACTTAAACTAATCAGGTGATCATTCACCTTTTTTTGCAACTGTGATACTTTTCTGTGATACTTCGCACCTGAAGACAAACCAGGAGTTGAGGGAACACAGCTTTTGGGGGGCTTTGAATTAACATGAATTTCACCATCAAAACAATCAGACCTGTTACAGATAATCATGGACTTACAATAGTTCATTTACTGACAGTTCAAAGTTAGAACGGCACTGAAAAAAGTGACTTGTGACCATTTTTCACACTTACAATCTTTGCAGCATTCCCATGGTCATGTGATTTACACACATTTGACCAGCTTGACAACTGGTTCATATTTATGACGGTTACGATGTCCCGGGGTCATATAATCCCCTTTTGTGACAAGCAAACTCAATGGGGAAGCCAGATTCAATTAGTAACAACTGTGTTACTAACTTAACAACTGCAGTGATTAATTTAACAAGAATGAAAAGTGGCAAGAAAAGTCATAAGATGGGGCAAAACTCACTTAACAAATTTCTCACTTAGCAACATAAATTCTGGGCTCAATTGTGGTCATACATTGAGGACCATTTGCTATAGGAATGCCTTTACAAAATAAAACTAGTTTTGGCAATCCTCACTCCAGGTAAATTAATTCAGTTAAGAGTGGATATGGGGTGGAGGGGTATTTACTCTCAGATTTCTTAGTAGACAATTGTTCTGAGTTTCCTTGTGACACAAGCACACTCACACACAGCACCCTTGCCTACAACATCCCAAACTACTTTTCTCCCCCTAATTGTTATTTTCATTTGATTCCCCTTTTGATCCTAAGGAATTTGCTTACTATTACCTGCCAGAGAATAGGTCCTTGTGCAAATTCCTCCTGGCAGCAGTATGCAAACTCCTATTATGCTAAAGAAGAGGCAGATTCCAATAGTAATATATGTCTTTTGTGTAAATGTGCATATTGACTTTCAGAAGCATCCACAGAGCTCTGCGCTAATTATTTGGGCAGCCATTTTCTTTGGATTCAAGAATTGGATCTCTTCAGTTATGTTTTCCAGAAGCATTCCCTCCTCAGACCCCTCTCCCCCCCCCACTCTCTTTCCTTGCTGTTCTCACCTTCGGGGAGGGGGGCGAAACTTAACTAGTACTCACTCACTTAACTAGTGCAGAGAGGACATTATTGCTGTAAATGCAGGTGGGCGCTGATCTGCATCTGATACAGCGTCAAAACTAAAAGCTCCCCAAAGAGCTGTGCTTGAATCTCCAGAAGAGAAATAGCTCAGCAATTATTCTTTCTAATGGGACTCATACATGAACAGAAGTGTGACATTTTCCTATTGAACAAAGGTAAATGGAAAAGGAAAATCAGAAACAGGTGATACTTCAAATCCTTGGCAAAATCAGGAGGAAAGAAAATAATTGCTTACCAATTCATTCCATGTATGCACATGTGCATGCATGCATGTGTGTGTTCATGCATGTACTTCTTATTCATATATACAGGTAAGCCTCGAATTAACAATCATAATAGAGCCCACCAATTTGATTGAATCTCGTGACAGTTGTAAATTGAGTCACCCACCATTTTTTGCAGTAATTGTCAAAAAAAACCCACTGTGGTTGTTAAGCAAACTAGTGGTTTGCCATGAGCCCGGTTTTGCCAAAAAACAACAACCCTGAAGTAAATGCCAGGTTTTGGTGAAACTTATAAAACACAGTCTTGTGACCGCAGCATGCTGCAAAGAACCCTAAATGTGGCCTGTGGTTGATCATCCAAAGTTCAACCACATGACTGCGGGAGGTCCTGATCATCTTTGGAAGTTCGAATCCAGGTTGTAGGTATCCATTAGGAGTTCTGTGGCAACTTTGAAGGTTGTAAGTTGAATGTACATACATTCAATTTACAGGTTGCCCAACTCTTGACAGCAACTCTGCATGCTGTCATGTTATGGTACTAAAAAATTGTCCAAAAAAAAATCATCAAAATTATCTCCTATAGCTGCTTTGCGAGCCAAATTAGATTAATAATTGGAAGTTCTGTAATTTGGATTTTCTGAAAAATCATTTGCAGCTTGTTGTTGACTGGAAGCCATTTCCTATGAGGCAATTTAAGACATTCTTGGATTCATCATTCCT